AGCAAAACCTTTTCTTTATGCTTGTTCTGACAGCAATGGAAGCTATTTATTTTGAACATGAAGACAGAAATCAAACAAGATTTTACTTGTAGACTATTTTATTTTATTTTATTTATTTCACCTTTATTTAACCAGGTAAGCCAGTTGAGAACAGGTTCTCATTTACAACTGCGACCTGGCCAAGATAAAGCAAAGTAGTGCAATAAAAACAACAAACATCTAGTACTGAAAGTAATGTTACCTCAAATTAAAGGGCTAATGAAATCAGACAATATGTACTGTATATGGTAAAATAACACAATTTTATTTTGTATTTTTATTTAACCTTTACTTAACTAGGCAAATCAGTTAAGAGCAAATTCTTATTTACAATGACGGCCTACACCGGCCAAACCCGGACGACACTGGGCCAATTGTGCGCTGCCCTACGGGACTCCCAATCACGGCCGGTTGTGATACAGCCTTGAATCGAACCAGGGGGTCTGTAGTGACGCCTCTAGCACTGAGATGCAGTGCCTTAGACCGCTGCGCCACTTGGGAGCCCAATACCAATTTTTTAAATGCTACAATCATGCATTTACCAGTGCAGGAACAGTGTGATTTGTGCACAGTGCATACAGGTTGTACGTACAGGTATTTAAGCTTGCCGTAACAAAGGGGTTGAATACTTATTGACTCAAGACATTTCATCTTTTAATTCCACTTTGACATTATACAGTATTGTGTGTAGATCAGTGACACAAAATCTCAATTTAATCAATTTAAAATTCAGGCTGCAACAACACAACAAAATGTGTAAAAAGTAAAGGGGCGTAAATCCTTTCTGAAGGCAAAGTAGATGTTGTGTAATGTATAATGTTTGTCATGAAGTGTCAATGAGGGCATTCTACAACGTTGGTGGCAGTTTGCCAATGTGGCAACGATAAGGAAATAATGTAGTTAACTGTATTATGGCTCAACAGTCATAATCTAGTATGACTAGGATTGCAAAGGGAGGGTATATTACTGGAAACTTTCACGTTTACCAGTAAACTACCAGAAATGTGGTATCTTTCAAGGGTTTTATGTAATCTATCACAAGACGTCTAGTGGACCTTTTGGCTACTTCAGATGTCTGTAAAAATCTCTGACCCTCTGTGTGGCCTTATCACATGTAAAATATATTAAATAATGAAATAAGATGATTTACATTATCCTAAATATAAACCATAAACTTAGTGAATACCATTGGTGTTTAATATGAGGGGTTTTCAGCATCAAATACCCTTAATATTTTTTTTTACACCCTTTTACTTATTTGACTATGCCAACATGTATTTGTTGTCAATGTTTTAGCATCAAATTGGTGGCAGTTGTGAGTAGATGGAAGACAGTCAATAGTTGGAAGAGTTGCAGAGTTAATTGTAAATAATGCAATTGTTGATTAGATGCTTTTTTAAATTATTGATTAGGTGATTTTCTCTTGAAACATATGGCCTATTTACTAGAAACTCATGGACAGTATGGACACAGATATAAAACAAAAAATGAATACTATATATGAATATATTTTTCAAAGTTATTGAAGTATAAATTACCAAAGTTATGACAGATTGCCATAGATATTCTGTTAATTACCAAAATTCCTGAAGACTCCAGTAACTTTAGTAAATCACCGGTGGCTTTGCAACCCTAACTATGACATAGTCTGATAAATCTAGACATGAGAGTAATCTGATTTCTGAAGTCAGTCCAGTTTTTCTGAAATTCCTGTCACTGTGGTACTCTAGAATACTAAATTACCTACCTCAAACAGTAGCAGTTTGATGCAGCTGAGGCCTGACTTTCCCATGGCCCAGTACCATACATTTTTAAGCTAACAGCACAGATCACATAACGTCAAGGAACTTTTGTAAAACCACAGCCTCTTAAATGATAGTTTAGGTTCTTGGATCATAAAAAGGACCAGTTTTGATGTGTTTGGATAATTATTAACAGTGACTTAGCCCTACTGATGTAGTTGCACAATTATAGAATAAAACCATCAAAGAAATTCGACAGGGTTGGTAAACGCAGTCAGTCAGTGTTTTTCTGGACCCACCTGTATGGAACAGTAGCCTCCCCTATTGACACTGTCCACATCTGTGTTGCTCTTGTAAATGAAATATTGATATTTGGATGGCCATCTCCATCTTACGAGGCAGTTTTGGATGTCATAACTCTCTCTAATACTGCCTGGTAATGATGATGATGACCCTCTGCAAGCATCATAGAGAGAAAGAAGTGTGAATACTGTACATAACGTAAACACATAACACACACACACAATCCCGCTTAGCACTGTATTTTCTCAGTCCTTGAGCCAGTGGGTAGTAATATTTTATGAGTTGCTGGTAAATTTGAGTAGTATTCTAAGGGTTGTGTAGACCTAGATATGCTCTGAGTTGGATATAGCTAGATATAGTTATGTGCCTTTGACCTTCCCTTTATTTGGCTTACAGGACACATCTTACCTGACAGTGCTTGGCTGTACACAGGTGTTCTAACACTGTCTGGTAATGATGTTCCCTGAAAGCCCTTCAAACAACCACATCAATAATTCCAACAACCAATAAGGGTGCAACGGCACTGTAACATACCTGAAGCAGGAAGCATTTGCGGTTTGTAAATAGTTTTTAGGACATTTTATAGTCAATGCTATATGTTTAATAGCGAGACCCATGTATGCCATTATCATAGTTCAGCTGTAGACTCCAAATCAGGTTTACAGTACAGCACATGAAAATATGGATGCTGTAGTAAAGTAGTTATTTTTAAAGGACTACATATGTAAATAATAAGATGATGGAACAACTGGCTGGAGGAAGCATCCAGAACAGGTGGCACACACTAGACAGTGAAGGCTGACAGATATAGTCCCATAGGATAAGAGATTTACGTTGTCTGTGGTGAGCACCTTCCGCCTAACCCCCCTTTGGTGATCGGTAGTTCCTCCCTGCCTCCTGCCCTTTGTGTGATTTTCCACCCCACCCAGTAGTTAAAGAATACCAGTGAAATGACTGTTGCAGTAGGAGCCACTTCCTCTACCCCTCCCCCAGTTGGAGCTGAGCCTGGGCCTTTGTTGGCTCGTGATTGGTCCAGCGCTACTGTACCTGCGTGGCATATTGTGCAGCTGACACCTGAGATCTGTGTGAGAAAAATAAACACAATGACCTCTATTGCTCTCCAGCTCTCTCTCTCTCTCTCTCTCTCTCTCTCTCTCTCTCTCTCTCTCTCTCTCTCTCTCTCTCTCTCTCTCTCTCTCTCTCTCTCTCTCTCTCTCTCTCTCTCTCTCTCTCTCTCTCATAACTCTCAACCTATTTATAACTCTCAACCTATTGTCCTGTTTTACTATTCAACACACTATTCTCAAGGAAAAGTGAAGGGAGACGAGGAACTAGGCACTTCCACCTGGTACTCTACCCTGCACCTTAGAGACGGCTGCCTTATGTACATAGAGTCATTGAACACTGGTCACTTTAATCATGTTTGCATACTGTTTTACCCACTTTATATGTATATACTGTATTCTAGTCGTGGCTCATCCTAAATAACTACTGTTGTACACACCTTTTCTTTTCATATACTGTCTATACACACTACATTATATGTATGTATGGGCCTCCTGTAGCTCAGTTGGTAGAGCATGGCGCTTGCAACGCCAGGGTTGTGGGTTCGATTCACACGGGGGGCCAGTATGAAAAATGTATGCACTCACTAACTGTAAGTCGCTCTGGATAAGAGCGTCTGCTAAATGACTAAAATGTAAATATATATATATATTCCAGTCTCTGACATAGCAACTTCTGATATTTCTAAATGTCAAAAAAATTAATCTGGATTATGTGTATATTGTTTGTTTTGCATTTCACTGCACCTGCAATCATTTCTACAAATCTGTGATTTGAAAATGTATGCTCAATGGCATATATTATTATTATATTATAATTTGAATCATCGTTTTCAAACTGTGTATTCTCAAACAAGAGGTTGACTGTGCAAATCAATGGAAAACAGAGATAAAAGCATAAGGTGATTGAGGTATTTCAAAGGTGATGTTTGTCAATGGCTGAACTTCTGAGTTCTGGTTTAACAACCCACAAATATTGACTCACCCTTTTGTGTACTCATTCTGAACTCTCTGAAATTGTAGGACAATGACATAATTTATTTGCATGTCCTTTTAAAGTTCAAATTATTGAAAGATTGTGTCATCTTGCTTTATGACAGATTTTGCTCCACTGATAAATAATTGTTGAAAATACTTCAACTATTACACCTCTGAATGATTTTTAAAAAAATGTCACCATTGGTATCTTGATGATGTATTGCTATTAACTATTCCAATTCTCCAACTTATTTCTGTCTTCTGTCTTTACAGCTTGTCTGTCATCAAGCTGCTGTAGCTACAAAGACCCTTGCTACTTTCCTCTGATGCTCCTACCTAAACCTTGTAATTGTCGTCTTACCAGACAAGTTTAGATCTAGCTACTCTGTCTAATACTGCCTGGTAATGCCGTCCATTACAAGGTGTCTCATCGCTCTTCCTCTGTCAGTCTCTTGGACAATCTGTACAAATCAACTGGTATCGGGGTCATGTGATGTTTTTTCACCCCTCAATGATTTTTCCAATTACTGGCTTATAATGTTTATTGCAGGTCAAATTGTATATTTTTTAAATTATGTATTTGTATGTAAAATGTCTTGAACATATATTTGTCTAACAGTATTTTATTGATTATGTTAATAAAGGTAATCAACGTTGTTTTGTGCTTTTCATTATCATATGAATAATTATAAACAGCATGCAGAGGCGCGCGAGCAGCCCACGCACACCCACACCCACACCCACACCCACACGTATTACTGTTGATGAAGCATGATTTACAGTTGTTGTACTCTACTTTTTGTGCAGTAGGTGGCGATAATGTTCCATTCTGAACTCAGGCAATAAAAAAAAACGCATTTCCTGCACAGTGCACAAACGGGGGGGTTACTTCCGGTTTCTACCACAGGAAGACAGACAGTTTTCATTGATAAATCGCACAACATTGGCTACTTTTCAGTTTTAGTACATTTATTTATACAATTTCTATACATTTGTTAAGACGCCATGTCGGGAATACCACCAGATACCTGGCAGCCACCCACAGTGAGCCTGGAGACAACGTAAGTTCCGGTAGCTTGCTAGCCTACGTTAGCTAAACGTTTTGAATGAATGAATAGCTAGTAGTTAGATAGTTAGGAGTTACTCAATTGCTTGCTGTTCAATCATGTTTTTCCAATACCAAATGCTGTCCATTGATTAATTTCATAATGGATGGAAAATGAATGCTTCGTCTTAGCTACATTGTATGTCTTCTTGTGTTCCAGAATGGGTACAATTGCAGTGGAACTTTACTGGAGACATGCTCCCAAAACCTGCAAAAACTTTGCTGAGTTGGCCAGGAGAGGTTACTACAACAACACCAAGTTTCATCGTATCATCAAGGACTTCATGGTGCAGGGAGGAGACCCCACAGGAACAGGTGAGACAGACACACACACACAAATATACACACACTAACACAGATGAGGCCTGGAGAAATTCTTCAGAATGCCATGTTAACTATTGTTCCACTACCAGGCTTTTGGCCTCCTGAGCATGAATCAGCTGTACACTTTTTTCTGTTCTGAGTGGTGATACATTCAGAATGTTCCAGAGACAGAAAAGAAGACTCACTAAACTCAAATGATGACTAAATCTGTTGATGTGGACTAAATCTGTTGATGTCGACATCAGATTCTTACTCCCTGTAATGTGCGTTGCTTATAGGTCGTGGCGGTGCCTCCATATTTGGCAAACAGTTTGAAGATGAACTTCACCCTGACCTGAAATTCACAGGTAACTATACAGTCTTACAGTAATGAAATGGAGAAAACATGTCATATTACCAAAATGTTGTATTTTTATGGTGCTTTCTACTGCTCTCTAATGGTGCTCTGTTATGGTGCTGTCTCCCTAGGTGCAGGGATCCTAGCGATGGCCAATGCAGGACCAGACACCAACGGAAGCCAGTTCTTCCTGACCCTGGGGCCTACTCAGTGGTTGGATGGGAAGCACAGTATCTTTGGGAGGGTATGCCAAGGTATGGCAGTGGTCAACCGCGTTGGCATGGTGGAAACAAACACACAAGACCGACCTGCCGATGACATAAAAATCCTCAGGACGACTGTACCCAACTGAGACGCATTCATACAACCAAGGGCTACTTTTTTATTTGTACAGTAATTTTGTCATGATTTAAAAATTAAAATTAAAAATGCCTTTAATTTTGTTATTCTCAAATCAATAATGTAACCATTATGGTCATAATCACTTAAATTGTTATGGGTGACCAGTAGCGATGTGTTGGTAAAATCACTGGGCAAGCCCCCCCCCCCCCCCCCCCCCCCCCCCCCCAAAAAAAAGATAATTGCGTTGTTTGCTCTATAGTCTGTTAGTTCGTAAGCCTTGCGACCGTGATATATAGGCCTAAGGCCGAGACAATAAGAAGATACTGGCAGAATAAAGTCAACCACACCTTTGTTTCATCAACCGGAGAGCAACCTCTGTCCAGTGAAGACCACAAAGCATATTGCATGTAACAAACAGTTACATGACCTACAGCATGGTCAAGCAAGTTAATGTTTCTGACATTTTCGGACTACTAAACAACTTGATTTAGAACCACTGAGAGTTACCGCAAGTTGCAAAGAAAACAGGAGCTGCCACCACTATTCCAGCACCATTTCAACTTCAACATCATCAAATCACCTATGCTTAGTCTAATACAACTAAAAGATACCAAAAACAATTTAGTCCAATCAAAATAAGCTAAATATGATATAGCTGTCCATGGTTCTGATTTCTCTGTGTGTATGTGCGTGCATGCGTTCGTGCAAGTAGAAAAAACATGTTGACTCACCCTACTTGTAGAGAAATGCCAATGCCTTCTTCCTGTCTTTCATGTTGACAAAACGGTCTATAACTGTCATACAGTACACACTTTTATTTTTTGTTTTCCTATGCTACCTGGATAAAATGCTTTCTCGCTAGCCCAACTTTCTTTCATGGGCAACAATGCGCCAGGCCAGCTAGTTAACATTAGCCTACTATATCTAGCTACATATTGAACTTCCATCCTCTCAAGCCAGGGGCACAATGTATAAATTTATGGTTGGATCAGAATCGCCATTATAATCATTGGCAAGTATGGAGAATTAAGTAAAACCACAAGTCCAAATCCCTATCTCCATCCATGGCTAATTTAGGGAAGGGCCAATTTGAGTTAGCTAGCAACCAGAGGACAACACAACGAGATGCTACAATTCAAGTTTTATTTTATGTCAATTACGTTTTGCTCTCGAAGTGATGTGATTTTAGTGAAACAAAACTGGCTTCCCTTGACACTTTTTTGTGGTGAAACCAGAAACCATTCACAGTTGAGTTCACTCAGTTTAGCTTAACGCTTGATTGGCTATTATTTTATACTTTTTTTTATGAAGGGAGGCCAAATGCTCGCTGGCTTCCCTTGCATACAATGCTACAGGCGGCAACAATGTCATACTCTTTTTGACCAGACAGCATGATAGATGGCTTACACATACAGAGACAGAGGGGTGCTGTTTCGCTCCCTCGGATGCTTTCTCCAGTGAGATATAGTACATTCATCATCTTGCAAACTGAAAGAAAATTAAGAAACACAGAGAGACGAAAGATATATATTTTTATTTTTGGACAATTTCTTGGGGAATCCTGACTTCTCTTGGCATCCATGAATACATGCCACTGTGGGTGACATGGTAGGAATGACAAACTTGAAATATAGCTGCGAGCAGCAATGAACAGGGTTCACAGTATGACTGAAAGGAAACAAGATCAGTTGGATAACGAAGCAAGAACTATCATGTAGGAACTATCTTTGTTTATGTACAATCATGAGTCTAAATACAACATCTGGAATGAATCTGACGTATGGTTCATGAGGAGAAGACGATTGCAGATTATTTTGCATTAATAGTTTCCTTTTTTGAGATATAAAAAACAGAATAACAAATTCAGTGTGGTTCAGCTTGGTGACGTCCATGATAGCGATGACAAGTTTCATGTTGAAAAGCTACTGTGGAGTGGATTTACATTGGTTTTAATGGACACATAAAATCTGATTTTTGATTAGTCAATAACTCAGCCATCTTTTCTCAAACCAAGTTAAGACATGTACCATGAGCCTACATTCCAAATGTGGTGTAATTTGGTCCTATAGTTCATGAGGAAGAATTATGTATTTTTTTTGCATACGTGCTAATATGCATCTATGTGGCCATCTTTTAATGCATCAAAGTTATTTTCTCAAACTCTTTAGGGACTATTGTGAATCTGACTTTTATTCTATCAGAAGAAGATTTCTTATGATTGTTTTAAGCACTAGCATTACAAATTCAAAAAAGTTAATAGTTAATAGTTTACACATTTTTAAAGATTTCAATGCCAAACAACATGGTTCATCATGGTAATGTCTTTGATGACCCTAAAACGTTTGAAGTTTATAAGCCATTGTGAAGTGGATCTACAAAGGATTTAAATGGACACGTAAAATCGGATTTCCCGATTTATCAGTAAGTCAGCCACGTCTTAACCAATCAAATTGAGGCAAATTTGTTCGGCATGAGGAAAGAGACCTACATACAAAGTCTCTAGGCCGAACGGGGCGGTGGATATGAGGATGTGAGACTGCTTTTAACAGCGCCATCTATATGCCAATCAGTGGCATTCTTTTTGAACAAGTTACTCATGGCCTCTAGTTTCTGTGTGCAAAATTAGAAAAAAAGTTAGCAATCTATGTTTGAGTTATTTGACCATGTCAAGAAAAAGAAAATCTAAGAATAACAGTAGGTTTCACAGCTTTGCTGAGAACCCCTAAATATGTCTGGTGTTTCTTATCTGATGCTTGCAGATAAGTCTCATCCTATAACTTGAACAGACTACCTCTGGAGGGAGACAAACAACAAAGCATACTGTAGGCCTTCCATTTCATAGGACGGTTATGTGACATAAGAAATAGCCAGCTCTGTTGTGGACACAGATAAGATGTTTTGGTTAGAATGTTTGGTAATCTCCCTATAGTTTAAGGCAGGGTTCCCCAAGTGGCGTTTTTAAAAATTTGGCCACCCAAGTTTTCTGAGCAAATACATAATTGTATTTATTTATATACAGCTCTGGAAAAAATTAAGAGACCACTGCAAAAATATAAGTTTCTCTGGTTTTACTATTTATAGGTATGTGTCTGGGTGAAATTAACATTTTTGTTTTATTCTATAAACTACTGACAACATTTCTCCCAAATTCCAAATAAAAATATTGTCATTTAGAGCATTTATTTGCAGAAAATGACAACTGGTCAAAATAACAAAAAAGATGCAGTGCTGTCAGACCTCGAATAATGCAAAGAAAATAAGTTAATGTTCATTTTTAAACAACACAATACTAATGTTTTAACTAAGGAAGAGTTCAGAAATCAATATTTGGGGGAATAACCCTGATTTTCAATCACAGCTTTAATGCGTCTTGGCATGCTCTCCACCAGTCTTTCACATTGATGTTGGGTGACTTTATGCCACTCCTGGCTCAAAAATTCAAGCAGCTCGGCTTTGTTTGATGTCTTCCTCTTGATCACATTCCAGAAGTTTTCAATGGGGTTCAGGTCTGGAGATTGGGCTGGCCATGACAGGGTCTTGATCTGGTGGTCCTCCATCCACACCTTGATTGGACCTGGCTGTGTGGCATGGCACATTGTCCTGCTGGAAAAACCAATCCTCAGAGTTGGGGAACAATGTCAGTGCAAAAGGAAGCAAGTTTTCTTCCAGGACAACCTTGTACGTGGCTTGATTCATGCGTCCTTCACAAAGACAAATCTGCCCGATTCCAGCATTGCTGAAGCACCCCCAGATCATCACCGATCCTCCACGAAATGTCACAGTGGGTGCGAGACACTGTGGCTTGTAGGCCACTCCAGGTCTCAGTCTAACCATTAGACAACCAGGTGTTGGGCAAAGCTGAAAATTGGACTCATCAGACAAGATGACCTTACTCCAGTCCTCTACGGCGCAATTTTTTACATTTACATTTTAGTCATTTAGCAGACACTCTTATCTAGAGCGGCTTACAGTTAGTGAGTGCATACATTATTTATTTAAATTTTTCATACTGGCCCCCCGTGGGAATCGAACCCACAACCCTGCCGTTGCAAACACCATGCTCTACCAACTGAGCTACATCCCTGCCGGCCATTCCCACCCCTACCCTGGACCAATTGTGCACCGCCCCATGGGTCTCCCGGTCGCGGCCGGCTACGACAGAGCCTGGATTCAAACCAGGATCTCTAGTGGCACAGCTAGCACTGCGATGCAGTGCCTTAGACCACTGTGCCAATCCTAATGGTCTTTTGCAAACCTCAGCCTGGCTCTTCTTTGCTTCTCATTGATGAAGGGCTTTTTTCTAGCTTTGCACGACTTCAGCCCTGCCCCTAGGAGCCTGTTTCGAACTGTCCTCGCCGTGCACTTCACCCCAGCTGCCGTTTGCTATTCTTTTTGTAGGTCACTTGATGTCATCCTATGGTTGTTGAGTGACATTCGAATGAGTTGGCGGTCATCCCGGTCAGTAGAGAGTCGTTTTCGCCCTCTGCCGGTCTGTAGCTTTGTTGTCCCCAATGTCTGCTGCTTGACCTTGTTCTTATGAACCGCCGTCTTTGAAATTTTAAGGATGGAAGCAACCTGACGCTCACTGTATCGCTCTGCCAGTAAAGACAGAATTGAACCCTTATTTCCCTCACTCAAAACTTTTCTTTTCAACTCTTTTGGCATGGTCAATAGTTATTTTTTGATTAATATTACTTTTGAGGTACTATTAGCACTGTTTTTGCCATCCAGCTGGTCCTATTGCAAGAGGATAGTGATGACCACAGCAGTGGATTTTATAATTTTCCTTGTTAAATAAGATTTGGTTCATGTGATCACCTAATCAGTACCTAATTCAGTAGAATGAGGTGTGCCTGTGTTGGAATTCAACAGACACTGGAATGGAATGGCTGTCATACATGTAGAGATGCTGATTTAAGAAAGATTTGCAGTGGTCTCTTAATTTTTTCCAGAGCTGTATATTTTTTTAGAATTTTCATTGTTGGACAAAAAAGACAAAAAACACCAGGAAATCAGCTCCAATTGATTTTCCCACGCATAATAGCGAGACATGATCGTATACAAATGTAATCAAGGTTTGAAATTATTATGTTTTAGTCAAATATTATATCTGGTTGGGCTTCTTGCAGTCTACAAATTATTTGT